CTGTAATGGTTCACGTCGACCAAGATAATACCATTAATCTTCTACAGACCACAGACCAAGACCAAGACCAAGACCACTGAGTTCTAATCTTCTATAAGAAGAGGGACAAAGAAACTGTTGAAGAAGAAGAATCATCATTTTAAACCAAAATTTAGTTGATATTTCACTTTCAATATATTGAAAAATGTAAAATCTCATATTCAAATTCTTTTTACCATAAAAATTTCTATCAATTCAGTTAATGTAATTCAATAATATCTAAATCTCTTATCTTCAAAATTATATTGGAAAAGAAGTAATCTTATCATTTTGGTTTAAAATGATGATTCTTCTTCTTCAACAGTTTCTTTGTCCCTCTTCTTATAGAAGATTAGAACTAAGTGGTCTTGGTCTTGGTCTTGGTCTGTGGTCTGTAGAAGATTAATGGTATTATCTTGGTCGACGTGAACCAGTACAGTTTCTGTTTCCATTGGAATAGCACTCACCATCAAGCAGAGAGGTCCCATGCACAGCACAGGGATAGCTATGGACATGAATCTTACCATGTGGAATGATCTCTACCATAAGATTTGCAGAATAATTGAAATTATAGCTATAATTAAAATAATAAATAATCTATCAATGAAATGTGAATTCAAATGATAAGTAATCCCCGAAAAAATGACAGAACAATTTCGATTAAACGATAAACGATTCCAACTTCTTAAAGAATGATAATTACGATTTCAATTGTTGACTTTCATCCAGCTCCTCTTGTGTTCATTTTTCATAGCTTCTTTAAAGCTTTCAGGTTTCTCCCGTCAGTCGTCAGTACATACTCATTGACTGGATATCTAGTAGATGATTGTCAGCTACTAGATCTTCTTAATGTTTGAGAACCTTCCCGTGCTATTGGCTGAACATGAACACCATAATCTTCATCTTCTAGTTCATTCTAATAAGGAACTTCTGGATTTTCTAACTCTGGCACTTGTTCTTGTGGGACATTTTCTTCATCTCCAATTTGTCTGCATTCTATTGGAGGGACTCTCTGTATGTCTATTGAGTCTTCATCAGATCTATTGGCACTTTGCTTAATTTGTATGCATTCATATTGGAGAGGACTCATCTGAATGATTACATATTGAGTCTTCAATCATGATCTATATGGCACATTATTGCTTCAGATATCTTCAATAGTTCTGATCTTGCAACAAATAACAACCGCATCACAAATTCTTAAATAAATACGGTCTTCCTAGATTTAATAAAGAACAAATTGGTGCTTAAGCGCATATGCAATGAATACACACCGTCATAGATTCCCCTTGACATCAAAGCTTAGACCCATTCAATCCTTTGGGTTATGCACAGAGACATATTGCAACCAAAACCACCCACGCAAATGATCATAGGAAAACATAGCCTTCCTAACCATACTCTCTCTGAGAGTATCAATGATGTAAGGGAAACAAGAAAGGGTTGAGGAAACGGCGAACTGAGCTGTGAAGTAACGCTTATGCCCGCAAATCCATTTATAGACAACTTGCATGTGAGAGTAAACATATGCTATCTCCATCAAAAAGGTCTGTTACAATCACTCGATTCAGACCAAACTGTTATAGTTGCGAGCGTCTTAGGAGGTGTCAGTTTGAATGTCGAAAATGCCATAAGCATCTTTTGAAATAGAAAGCATCAAAATGGCCCAGTGTATTACTCCACCATTATACTAAGTCCTGATACACATATACAGCTTCATTGTCTGATCATGTCTCTCAACCAGAAGTTTAGAAAGACTTCAGATGTGGTAATACCCAGGTCACTTCCTAGAATGAGTCATACGATAAATATAACAAAAAATAATCATTTCACTAATAATGACATTGTCAAAATTAGTCCACATAAAATCTAATGAAATTTAGATTATAATAACGCGATTCTTGCATTCTAGAGAAGGAGGGAGGGGGGTAAAGCTGGGGGAAAGCTATAGCTCTGTTGTTGCTTTCTGGGGGGCTGCGGCCATAGGGCAATGCGAGGGACGGACTTGTCGTGAGGGTGATAGCTGGTGCATGGGGCCCAAGTCTAGGTAGGTGGAGCGTTCGTTGGTCTTGCGCAGAGGCGTTTGTTTCTTACGCTGGGGCATGGGTGGCGTTCGCGGGTGGGGGGGGGTGTAGTGGCGGACGAAGATTCAAGGCTATAGGGGGGCTGGGTCGATGTGGGCTCGGGGCGGCTGAGGGCAGCTGGCAAGAGGTGTCTTGGGGGAGAGGGGGTTTTTCGCGCAATGCGCGCATGGCAGAGCGGTAGCAACTGTGTGTGCGGTCTTGTAGGGTAACCGGGACAGAAGCTGGGAGGGGCCTTGTTGGTGGAGCTTGGGGGGGGCCAGGGCTGCGACCATTTCTGAAGGGGGTGGGGCGGTTACAGAAACCGTTGGTAGTGCATGCAGTGAGCCGAAGAGCGAGGTGTTGGAGCGCATGGGCGTCGCGTAGGGTAAAGCGCCGCAGTTCGCTGCGAGTCGTCGCTTGGGGTGCTGCGCGCGTGTTGTAGGTTTCAAGGGCTAACACAGGGCAAATTGCATCTGTTGAGTTGATCATGGAGGAGGAGATGCGTGTTTCGATTCGTAGGTCGCATGGGGATGGGTAATTTCCCGGGCGCGAGTGTGTAGGAGTGCAATAAGTGGGGTTTGCTTGTGCCGCATGTGGTTGATCTTGGCGCGTAGAAAGAATCAATCAGGGCCGAGACGATGAGAGAGGAGCCGGTAGGTACGTGAACAGTAAGTTGAGTAGGTGAAGAGAGGTTGGCCGATGAAATAGTAGATGTGGAGTGGACGCGGAGGGGGCGGCTGAATAGTGAACTGGATTAGGTGGGTGAATAGGTAAACTGTACGGAGGGCGGTGAAGTGGGTGTTGGCTGGTGGCGTGAGAGATAGTGACTGGGACTTACTTGAAAAGGATCAGGACAGTAATGCCAATAGTATTGTTCACACATACTTTGAAGCTTACTATTTTACTATTCATGCATTAAGAATCGATTTTGGCAACGTCTTTCGCACGAGAACAGATACCTTACCACCCCAATGGAACTCATCGTATTTTCTCTCATCGTCGGTATAAATTTAATTTTGCAAATATATCCACAGAGATCTGGTTAACCGCTATCATGACCGGAACTGGATCTGCACGAAACCTTCAGCGCTACTGATAAGCCAGTTGTTTGACCCTCAGAGTATCACTTGCCTCAACTCTGATACCACACTCTTTTGGGCCCTTTCCAATAAAGTAAGAGAAAAAATATAATGGCAACAGAAGAAAAGTACAAATTGTGACACAGATACAGAAATATTACAGTGGTTCACCGCTCAGCATGTTTAGGGCTACGTCCAAGCGAGGGGGGACTAGAACTGCCGAATAATTCTTGCCAGCTATTGAAAAGTGAGTTGGTACGAGGGGCAGAAGGAGAGGGTAGATAAGCAGAAAATGAGGGTGGGGCAGCGCTGGGCAAAGGTGGGTTTTCGCGGCAAGAAATAGCGGCCAGTAATAGGGATTTTTCCGGTCACTGAGATGGGTTTCTGCCGTCCGCGCTGAGGGTGTTTTAGGAAGATGCCGTTCCTAAGAAACTGAGATGTGAGGATCTGTCTCGTACGATTTTGTGTTTCTTCCTTTGCTGCGTGTGTGCTTTGCTTTGGGAGGGTTGTTCGCGTGGACGGCGGGGGGTCTATGTTATAGGGGAGAGGGTTAGTGGAGGAGGTGGAGCCAGTGTGGAGTGAGGGGAGCGTGAGTGGTCAGGGGGGGTGGCTCGGCGATGTGTTGGTCAAAGGCGGATATGCCATGCAAATTGTTCGATTTTCAACTCATTCACGGGTCTCCATTTTGTCAACAATTGCCTGCAATTGTTGATTTTCCTTTTTCTTTTCTTTCTTTCTTCAAAGAACACTTTTTCCTTTTTTTTTTTCTTTTTTCAAAAGTGTGTGGGTTCTACTTGAGTGGGCACCACCACAACAATTCTCTACTTGGTCCACATTCAATACATATAATATCCACCAGTGCAAAAATTTGGAATTTAACCATTCCCATAATCAAAATAAATTACATGTAATCTTGTACTACAATCATACTGATGGTTTGTCAACTCCATCTTAGATTGTGAATAAAAACTTTATATCTCATATTAACAAAATGATTTAATGTTTTATATACGGAATGAACTCTACATAAAATCATCAACTAGTGCAAAATAAAAGACAATAATTATAAACATACCATAAATAATCATACCATACATAATTTATTAAATGTAATTCTCAGTTTCAATAATAAGTAATTATCAAAAAGCTATAATATTACAGACACATGATTAAGAGTATAAACTGTGCTTTCATTAAAAATACTTTTTTTATTTATTATCCTATTCATTTTTGTATTACGAGTCAACTTTCACATTATGTAATTGATTATTTTTTAATAAGATAAAAAAATTTATCATTTAGGTTAACATTAAAATAATATGTTCACAATGAGATTAAAAATTAATTGTTCAGATTAAGACAAAAATAATACTTTTTTTTTTGTTTGATTTAAAACAATAATGTTCAAACTGTGGAAACACATCTAATCCTAATCATCTTATTTTGCCTCTGGTAATTTCTTTATGTCTATTAACTAAGTTGAATCATTATTAAGATTATGTTTGACAACATCTTTTTAAGTAACTTTAACATTTTAATATTTTTATAGTATTCGGTAATATATCGTTTGAATTAGCTGTTAGAAGGCAAGGTAGCGTTTTATAAAAGGCCAATCCCCATAACATTTAGTTTTTTAACGTTTTTTATAAAGCTACTAAAACAGTTAATAATTAATTTTGTGGAATACACCCTAAAATCATAATTAGTCATTCTCACGTACCAACTTCAACATTACATTCCATAAGTCAATATTACTATTTACATATAAAAAACAGGATTTCTTAATTATGGGAATCTGTACCTACCAACCCTTATATATAGTGTACAAATGATTCTTAACTAGTAATAAGCTTTTCAATAGCATTTAATTACAAAGAGAAATGGCAACCAATCTGAGCAATTTGAGCAAGTATTGTTACCCCATAAATCAAAATGCCTATGCACATATACCTCCGCTAATAACTGCAATAAAAACTCCTAAAATGAATAGAGAGCCCAAATGTTCATTGAAGGCACAAATTTCTCATCCTCCAGATGAGAGACGCTCTGCTAATTACCAACCATCTACTTGGAGCTATAGCTTTTTGCAGTCCTTAAAGAATGATAATTCCCCATAACATTATGAAGTTTTTACTTCGTTTTTTATAACAGCCTACTAAAAACAGTGTATAATTATTTGTGGACATACTCCGTATACAACTCAGAATTAGCTCATCTCTTCTCTAACTTGATGCAGCGAGGACGTCAAACGACTTACTCTTCCTCCGTAAGTATTGACTGTATATTTCATGTTAAATTAAAACAGGATTTCTTAATTTCGGATATCTCGTTCCTACCTAACCTTCTTATATGTTATGTTGTCACAATTGAGGTTCTTAACTAGTATTATAAGTCTTCTTTCTTAATAGCTTTATATTAACAAAGGAAATGGCAAACCATCTGAGCTAAATTTGGCAGTATTTCGTACTCTATTTATCCATAAATTCAAAATGCCTATGCATCATATACTCCGCTAACTCATATCTGCCATATACAAACTTCTAAATGACTAGAGACGCTCATTATGTTCATTGAGGCACAAATTTCTTCATCTCCGCAGAGTGAGCATGAAACGCTCTTGCTAAATTTTACCTTCAACGTGGTGCTTACTTGGTAGCTATCTGCTGTCTCTTATTGGCAGTCTCTATTAAGATGATACTTACTCGCAGTAAGTTATATCCTTCAAATTACCTATTCATGAAAATGTTGTTTCTTCGCGTTCTTTGTGTGTCTCCTTGCCGCGCAGGACCTTATCGTTTGTAGTGGTCGCCTGTCACTCATATATACTATCACTTATGTTGTACTTACGACACCCCTTGAAACACCAGGATACTAATTTGCACGGTATTTGTTGTATATTATGAGATTAAGGCTAAGTAAAGCCTAAAGATGAGGAATGAGAATGTGTAATCAAATGAGTGAAAGTAAGGAGTCTCTTTTGACAGATTACCTTGATAACTGTTGATGAACAATCCAAAGGTTTGGTGTTTTGTTAATAATCTCTTATAGAATCAGACATAATAGGACAAGTGCTTGCCAGTAGCACTTCCAGCTCTTCGGTTAGGCCATGTAAGAACGTCTATGTCCACATATCAATCCTCTTTCTATTGTTCTCATTCGACTACTACGCACACACTTTACGACTCTCAGCCACACAGATGTTTATCAGGTTTTCTGAGGTACTATGTAAGTACACTATTATATGTATTGATATTTGTTTTATAATATGCAGAACAGGTCGTAATGATCAAGATCTCCAGCGAATAAGAACTCAGGACTAAAAGAACTACCGGATTCTTCCCTTCATCATATATATATAATTATGTGTATATAAGCTTGAAACAAGGATTAATTGCAGGATTTGTTGTATAAAGACAAGGCAAGAAAGCTAGAGGAGGAAGTGAGAAGTGTAATCAATGATGAAAGTAAGGAGTTTTTGACAATTCTTGAACTGATTGATGACATCCAAAGGTTGGGTTTGGAATATCTCTTCAAGAAAGACATAAAGAAAGTGCTTGATAGATTCCAAGCTCTCGGAGGATGTAAAGTTATGTCCAATAAATCTCTTCATGTTATTGCTCTAAGCTTTAGACTCCTCAGACAACATGGTTATCAGGTTTCTGAAGGTACTTGTACAGACGACTATAGTTAATTATTTTGTTAAAAATGAGAAGTCGAATGAAGATCCACAATGAATAGGGACAAAAAGAACTAGGATTCTTACGTTTTAATCAAGAGGCGGAGCCAGGATCTGAAATTAGGGAGGCAAAATAATATATAATCTAGTTAAAAAAAATTATATAAAAGTTAAGGGAGGAAAGTGGTTGATGGTATGTAAAAATGGTTAAATGGTTAGGATTCAAGACATGTTGATGTAAAATACAATTTTTTTTTTTAGAAGAGAGGGGGGCAACTGCCAGCACAGGAATAAGATATATTTGAATGCACCAGATTAATATAGGAAACTACATCATACTTAGGGGTGGCTACGGTTCCGGAACCGTGGATTTTGGTTTTGGAACCGACGGTTTCGGTTCTAAAAAATTTAGAATCGGAACCGAACCGAAAATTGACGGTTCCGGTTATGGTTTGGAACCGAACGGTTATGGTTCTGATTTTGGTTCTTTAACGGTTCCAAAACCGACGGTTCTGGTCGATTCTCCAACCAGTTTTCCAGCGAATCACGTAATTGTAAAATGAAAAAGTAGAGAACATTTTTTCTTCAAAATTTGAACTTTAAAAGTTTGTGAAATTTCTAAAAAAAAAAATACCCTCAAAAAATTACAAAAAGACCTGAACTTAATTTTCTTTTAAAAAAGTCTTCAAGTCAATTTATTTTCCGTTGAGGTATATATAATAAATCCAAAAAATCATTTTTTTTACAAATACCCTTAAAACTAGCTGTTATGTAGCGGTTTATAGTTGTTAGGAGGAGTGATTTGAGAAAAAAGGACAAAATAATTTGATTATTATATTATCACTACCCTTTAATTTGATTATTCTATTATACAATAGTAACTGACTTACATAATTATAATGTATGATGCCTTTAGATGAATTCAGGAATTTCATGGACAGAGATGGTAATCTTGAAGAATGCTTCAAGAAGGATGAGAAAGGAATTCTAAGTCTATTAGAAGCTTCATTTTTCTCCTTTGATAGAGAATCTCTATTAGACAAGGCAATGACACAAACAAGAACACATCTCAATAACCTTACTAAGAGTAACTCAGACATTAGCCATGCTCTTGAGCTTCCGTTGCGCCGGAGAATGGTTTTGTCGGAAGCACGGTGGTATATTGAAGCATATGGTAAAAGGGAAGAAGCAAATCCGTTGTTGCTTGAACTTGGAAAGCTGAATTTTAATATGGTGCAATCTGTACTCCAAAGAGATCTTAAAGAAATGTCAAGGTAATAATTAAACTATCCTGGAAAAAATAGTACACTTGCACGTTAGATGTGTCTTATTTTTTTTAGGTGTAACCTTCGATTACACTCCGAATTTTTAGAGTGGTTGCAATTTCACTATAAATCGATTTTTCTACCTTAAATATCTTGAATTTATTAACCTAGTTGCAATTACACCCTAATTTTAATTAATATCCAACACATAATTTTTGCATCTTAAAATTGATTCAATTTTAAAATCAAATACTCAATCTTGATTTTTTTCTATTTATTATATGAATACTTGGATTTGATTTAAAATTGATTCAATTTTAAAATCAAATACTCAATCTTGATTTTTTTCTATTTATTATATGAATACTTGGATTTGATTTTATTATTTATTGTTTAAATAAATGAAGTCCATTTTTTAAAAATTATTTTAATCAAAATTCTAATCTTAGTTTACTTTTACATGTGCAATGGCAACAAATCAACAAGTTTATGGTGTTGTAATTCACTTTTAGGGTTCATTTGCACCTTAAAAGTAAATTAAACTGTAATTGAAACTAGGTTGATAAGTTCGGGTACCCAGGGTACAAAGATCAATTTATAGTAAAATTGCAACTATTCGAAAAGTTCAGAGTGAAATTGAAGGTTAGGCCTCTTTTTAGGAGCAAATAAGAATTTTTTATTTATTTAAGAATTAAATAGAAAATAAAGATGTGTTTAGAAAAAACTCAACTAACCAAGTTACTACACTATCAAGCTTTCCCCAATATACCCTATCCTATCCTGGAAAGTTAAGTAAAAACCTAACCCACACCCAATAAATAATCCAAGAGAAAAGAAACTACCGACAAACAAAAAATATAAAACAAAAAAAAATATAAGTATATCAGATGCAATTTTTATAACTATGCAAAAAAGATATCATAGCTGTTATCCTTTTTCTTATTAAGGAATCTGCAAATGAGTTTCTTTCCCTCTTTATATGATAGACTGAACTTGAGATAATACATTAACTAAGACATTAAATCTATTAAATTTTTTTCACCATTCCCATTTTCTTTTATTTTTGTTGATAACCTAGGTGATAGCATTTCTTGAATCAGACTCAATGATCAAAGGACAACTATTATATTGCGCTTTATAGAATAATTCTATCATTTAGGATGGCTAAAAGTTCAGCCTCAGTTTGAATCCATAACACTCACAAGTATGCATGTTAGATGTGTCTAGCCTAACCTTAACATGTACTTTTCTGTCTGTAACTAGGTGGTGGAACAATTTGGAACTAGCAAAAAATTTGAGGTTTAGTAGAGACAGAGTAATGGAGTGCTTCTTTTGGACCGTTGGAATGGCCTTTGAGCCACAATTTAGCAGATGTCGTAAAGGATTAACAAAAGTGACTTCATTCATTAAGTGCTTCTTTTGGACCGTTGGAATGGCCTTTGAGCCACAATTTAGCAGATGTCGTAAAGGATTAACAAAAGTGACTTCATTCATTACCACCATTGATGATGTGTACGATATTTACGGCACTTTGGATGAATTGCAGCTGTTTACAGAAGCTCTTGAGAGGTTTGTCTACCTACCATTTCTAATATTGACATCCATCCATTATCATGTATTGTTAGATGACTTAATGTATAAATTTGAACCTGTACTTTAAGTGATTATTTTTGTAGTCCCTTTTGAACTTTGCAGGAACCCATCATGACCGTGCACTTTCACATTTCAATAATAACTATATCATTCGTCAAAATGAGATGTGAAAGTATAGGGTTATAATTAAATCCTATAAAGGTATTTTATTTTGGCGAGTGGTATAATTATTGCTGAAAGTGTACGGTTACGATTAAAGTGAAAGTATAGGGTTATGATTAAATCCTACAAAGGTATTTTATTTTGGCGAAAAGTATAGTTATTGCTGAAAGCGTAGAGTTATGATTAAATTCACATGTCAATAACTTTGGATTAGCCAAATTTATTCCAAATTCATCTTTAATAAAATTAAATCTTTTTCCTGATAAGAAGAACAGCATTAATTAAATTATACTAATCAGATACAAATATTGAATTATTTCTTTAGATGGGATGTCAATGCTGTGAAAGATCTTCCATATTATATGAAGTTAAGTTTCCTTGCTCTATATAATACTGTCAATGAGATGGCTTACGATACTCTCAAGGACAATGGAGAAATTATTATTCCTCACCTGGCCAAAGCAGTAAGTTCAATTTTGTTTTTAATTAATTAGGAATTAAAGTTAATTACATATCTAATATTAATTATTATATTGTTTATGAACTACTTCAGTGGGGTGATTTATGCAAAGCATTTTTGCAAGAAGCAAAGTGGGCCCACAACAAATCTACACCGTCATTTGAAGAATATATTGAAAATGGATGGTATTGAAAATGGTGAGAGATTAGTATCAAAGGAACTGTTATACATTTACATGCTTGTTTATGAACTATTTCAGTGGGGTGATTTATGCAAAGCATTTTTGCAAGAAGCAAAGTGGGCCCACAACAAATCTACACCGTCATTTGAAGAATATATTGAAAATGGATGGCGATCTGTATCAGGAACTGTTATACTTATACTTGCTTTCATTCCCTACTCAATTACGATCAACTCTTGAAATGGCCATCCCTTATTTTTAGACTTTGCAATGATTTGGCCACTTAATCGGTATGCATACATATATATATAGAATTTTAATTTAATGGAGTCAAATATATATAGTTCTTGATTTTTTTTTTTTTGAGAATTATATAGTTTTTGAAAATCAATTTTCAATATTTTCTATATTATTATTAATATTTCTGCGCCAATCTTTAATTTTTTTTATAGAATGAATCATTCATATAATTCTGAAAATTTTTTAATAAAAGCATTCTTGAATCGAAAATTTTTCGAGTATAATAACACATATAATGATAATAATTTCTGATATAATATAATTATATATGTATAAAAAAAATTATTTGTGATACGTTTATGAAGTTGTAATGTAAAGTATAATAGTAATCACATGATGATCAGAAAAAAGTGAGAAGAATTTATATGGGCGTCAAAAGTTAATTATTAATGGAATGATCTGACAGAAACTTCATTTTTTTTAATATTTTTCTATGTTACCTCTTTAATTTCTGTTAGGATGAGTTAAATTCGAGTGAAGACTCGTAACGAACATATAGCTGATAAGTAATTTCTGGAATGATAATACAATTATGGATATGTATAGCAAAATAAGCAGGTGATATTTGTGGATACCTTTATGAAGCTGAGTATAGATTAATTATCGTCAAAATGAAGTAATATAGATAATATGTCAAAAAAGAAGAAGAATTTAATGGGGTCAAATTAATTTTTAATGGAATGATCTATAAAATAAATTTTTAATATTTTCTTGTTCAACTCTTTATTTCTTTAGGATGAGTTAATTCGAGGTGAAACTGTAAATTCAATATCGTGTTATATGCATGAATATGAAGTTTTAGAGGAGGAAGCACGAGAACATATAAATAAATTGATAGAGAAGGCTTGGAAGAAAATAAATGAATGTGAAATTGGTGAGACTCAGTTTGCAAAGCCTTTCATTGAAGCAACTATTAATCTTGCAAGGATTTCTCATCTCACATACCAACATGGAGATAGCATTGGAGCTCCTGATAGTAGATCAAAGAGAAGAGTTTTGTCATTGATTATTGAGCCTATTTCTTTAAGCCAAAACTAATGTTCTTACCACATGCATTAGGATGTTTGTTATATATATATTTTCTATAGATAAGTTTTATAGATGAATTTAGAACTTAATTATTTTAACGAGTTGGGTATGGGATTATTATGGATCCATTGGGCTTGCGTCCATCAGAAGTGCTTTGGGATAGGTTTATAAATGGGCCAAGGCATGTTTAGTTTGGACTTGAATTCAGTTTGTTTATACAGTTTGTTGTATTTCAGTTTGGTTGATGTATAATAATTTTAACAAGTTGTTCGCTCTGAAATTGTTATGGGAAGGTGGATAAACGAGTCAAAACCTATTTAATCCAAAAAGAATGGATTAAGAATAAAAAGAGTAAGGGAAAAACAAAGATAAAAGGAATAAGAAAGAAATATAAAAAATTAAGGGGTTGAAAAGAAAGGAACACAAGGTAACTTGAAACGGTTAAACAATTCGGTTTATTTATATATATTTGTGCGCGTACTGCAGTATAATTTTTTCCTTTTTATAAGGATCCTAAATATACCTCCAAACAAGGTGCACCTAGAAAATATATAGAAAAAAATTAAAAATGTACTAAATATATTCAACATTTACAATTTATGGGTTTTTAAGCACAAATGGTCCTTTTGGTGCTATTCTAGCATATAATAATTCTCTCCAAGCTATGTCAATTCGGTCCTCTTGCTTCGGCCTGATTTTCTAGGCTGGCATCAATAATGTTCCATGCACATAGGGGTGGCCACGGTTCCGGAACCGGCGGTTCCGGTTCCAAAAAAACTGGAACCGGAACCGAACCGAAAAAGTCCGGTTCCGGTTCCGGGTGTATCTTTCTAGGCTGGCATCAATATGTTCAGTGACCATAGGGGTGGCCACGCGTTCGGAACCGGCGGTCTTTCCCGGTTCCAAAATACTGGAACCGGGAACCGAACTCGAAAAAGTCGCGGTACGGTTTGGAACCGGGACCGGCTTCCGGTTCGGTTCGGTTGCCGTCCGGATGATCGAGAGGACCGAGCGGTTTCCGAGTCGATTTTCCGGCGAAATCGAATGAATGTTTTAATATTTTAAATATTTGAAGATCGACTGTTTGCAAAAATTTAATAAATTTGTGAAAGTTATTTGTAAAAAACATACACGCTAAAAAATTTAAAAAAATTTCCCTTCTACAATTAAATTTTATTTTTTGTAAAGACTTTGAATATAATTAGTTTTTTACAAATGATAAATTTCTCCACTGAAATTAAATTTGTTTTTGTTTAAAAGTTGAATATAATATTTAAAAAATATTTGTATAGAGAGGGATTAAGTGAAGACTGAGCAGGTTAGAGGATTTTTTCTATATGAAGTTTGTACAATGAATCAGGTCATCTTCATAATAAATTCTAAAAAATTAATTTTTCCAAACAGGATAAGCCTTGAACCACTTAGCCGGTGTTATATTCGTATATGGCGCGTTTATAGCTATGGGAGAGAATATATGTATGATTTCACGAAGTAAAATCTACAAAAAAAAAATCGACAACGTTCAGACCAATGAATTATAAGAAGAATATGTATTTAATTTTTTTATTTCAATTTTTCTGTTTGTCCCTTTGTGTAGGTGTTAGGCGTACGGGTTTATAAATTTTATTGTTTGTCTAAGGTTGGGTGGACACGAGTGGTGGGGTACTGGGGTTTCTTTTGCTCTAAAAAGGAAGCTTTTTTTTTTTTTTTTTTTTTTTTTTTGGTGTGACAGTTTATAAGCACCTCCGGTTCGACCGGTTCGAACGGCGGTTCTAACCGGCCGAGAACCGGTCGGTTCCAACCGGGTTCCGACCGGTTTTCTGGAACCGCCGGTTCTGGTTCCAGAAAAATCTGGAACTGAACCGAACCGGAATATTCGTTCCGGTTCCGGTTCGTCCCGGTTTTGTTCTCACCGGTTCCGGTTCCGGTTCCGGACCGGTTCGAACCGGCGGTTCCGGTTCCAGGAACCGTGATTTGGCCAAGCCTACATGCACATGGGCTTTGCTGGGATGAAAGTCACATGTCCATAATGAGCCAACCTCGGATGGATAGGTGGTATACTCATTCAGACCGATTTTCTATCGTTTCGGTCTCTTTTGAACACGGGATCCAATTATTTTGACGGTCGTGTTGTTCCAACCAACTTACTGACTGAGCATACATCTTCTCAACTCAAGGAAGTTCCTTATACAGACCCAGAGCAGGCGATCGGATACTTGGACCAGTTCTTAAGACCAGTTGAGCCTATTATGCATCTTTCCCTTATTGTTTCCGAAGTTTCCGCCCCTTTTTTATTAGAGTTAAATTTCCTATTTAAGTCTAATAAAAAAATTTAGACTTAAATAAGTAATTAATATAACCAATTAAAATTAAATTATATATACAAAAGCTAAAAATTAACTACTAATGTTGACTTTGATGCTACGGTTAATACCACATCACTTTGAGATAAAACCGATTACAATTACTAATTAAACTACCCATTAAAATATCTCCAATGCAACCATGGATTGTGGCTGATTTGTCTTAATAAATAGAAGTCGTGGATAGTGATGTGACTGAATTATTGGTTAGGTGGCTTGCAAATCCCACATCGAAAGAAAGGGAAGGGAATAGGGAGTTGTTTGGCTATAAAAGGAGCTTAGCTCCTTAAGTTTGTTTTGCTATAAAAAAGGAGCTTAGCCTCTTAAGTTTTATTCATAATCCAAACTTGTCTACTTGTCTTCTAATTCTTAAGTGGGCTTAGACAAGTTTCTCTCTCTCTCTCCAAATTTGTATACTTTCTATTAGTGAAATATAAATTTGGGTAGTGTCCGAGGAACGGTAGGCAAATTGGTCGACCTACCTCGTTAAATTTTGGTGTTACTCTTTTATTTATTGTTTTTGTCTTTCTTTTATTTAAATAGCTATTGTTGGGGCAAGAAATATTTTTGGTGGTTAAATTGGTCTAATAATTACTGTTCTAGGTACATTCTGTCCAGGCAAGTGGATTTTAGAAGTGAGACCGATTTTGGTGAACTCCCCTCCCGCTTAGCTGGGATCTTAAAGTCTTAGTGTAGTTAGTAAGGAATTACATGTGAGATATCACAAATTGCTTTGTGGAAAAAGGCCCAAGTTTCACAACCACTTTGAGGTATCAGAGGCCAAGGGTTACTAAGTATTCACTGTGGTTGCAGCATAGTCTGAATCTGCCAGCAGTTAAATAAGGGTTCCTAGCTGTTTGTGTTCAGCATCTTTGAAAATTGATTTTTATAGCTATAGAAATCGAGTTTTAAAGTAGAAAGGCAGATGGACAAGAAAAATACACACCTGTACATGGCAATCAACCTTCAATAAGAAATGCTATATCAAAGCAAGATTTACAGTGGACGATTTTCGATTGGGACCGGGTCCATGTTCGGCATGTGGCAAAAAGTGAAGTTCTAAGACGCTCTCTTCAGCAAGGTCTAGATGTTTGCCATTGAAGAGAAACCAAACGAATACGAGGAGAGTGAATGGAACACCATCAATCGTGCTGGCAATGTGGTCCAGATTCGGTCGTCGTCTTTCTAGAGGGCAGAAATATGCTTTCCTCGGAAAGAAACTTCTTGCAAACAAAATTGTGTGGAGGCATTGGAGGAGAAAATTTTTTGAAGAAAACCAATCAGAATAAACTCTCATTGAAGGAAGAAATTGTATCGCTTCGATTTATGTTCCTGGTACGCTACTTATGAATGATCACATTTTTCACAAAATTGTAAAAATCAGTTGGTGGGTGATTTGTTTAATTTGATCGTGAATTATTCTGGAGACGAAGATTTGGCATGTTGTTGCTTAAGCATCTCTTCCTGATGAATTTGAAACATCTTACAACTGACTCTAATCTATGGAAATAAAGATGGTGACTTTTCAGTGAGTTTTGTGCCTGATCTTTACACGCCATGAGACTGAGAAGAATAGAATAAGAAGAAAAAGGCAACTGAAGCAAGAAAGCTCTGAGGTTGAGGTCCGTTCATTGAAGCCGAAAAGAAAGGGGGAAAGAAAAGTTAGATCCGTATCAGATCCAGAGATTGAAAAAGATGATGTGTTTACCTTTTTGTCGGTGAGAAAGGTCGCCACTTGGATGAGACAAATTGCCCAAAAAGCTGAAAGCCAAAGGCAAAAGCTGTTATTGATTCAAAATATGCTGAGTGTGAATGAAGACTCAGACTTCGCTCATTAGTTTATTCATCGACATTTGATAGACAACTTCATCAGGCAAATTTGTCAGAGTGTCTAGTGAGGTAGTGGCTCGCTAGACTCATGCATTGCAAGTCGCATACATATGAGTCCTCCACCGGGACTGGGTTTTTTGACTTTAAAGAACTTGAAAATGAAGTTGTCCTATATCTGCAAATATCCGTTCCTTGCTTTCACAGAAGGGGATTGGTTTCAGTCCGTTTGGAAAGATCCCTGATGGCTCCATGCAGGATCCTGACTGATGTTCGATATGTACCTCTTCGATATGTACCGAGTTTGACAAAGAATCTCATTTCAGTAGGAGTCCTAGAATCAAAAGGACTCACTATAATTGCGAAAGATGGAGTGATGAAAGTCATATTTGGTGCACTTGTGGTGATGAAAGGAGTTCGGAGAAGGAATAATTTGTATTACTATCAAGGTAATACAATTATTGAATCGACAGCAACAGTTGTTTCTAGTGATGACAAAGAGTTAGAAACAACCAGATTATGGCATAGGCGATGGGACATGCAGGTGAAAAATCCTTGAAAAAAAAGATTGTCAGATCAGGGATTATTGAAAGATGTCAAAACCTGCAAGTTGGACTTCTGTGAGCATTGCACCAAAGGAAAGCAGACAAGAGTGAAATTTGGCATCGAAATCCATAATACCAAGGGTAGTTTGGACTATGTTAACTCTGATGTATGGTCAACGGCTTCTTTAGGTGGCAAACATTATTATGTAACCTTTGTTGATGATTTCTCTCGAAGGGTTTGGGTGTATACTTTGAAGTCAAAAGATGAAGTGCTAGGAGTTTTCCTCAAATGGAAAAAATTGGTGGAAACTCAGACTGGTAGACGCATCAAATGTCTCCGAACAGAAGAAACTCAGACCTGCAAGACGCAGTTATCAAATGTCTCCGACAGACAATGAGGAGAATCAAATGATGCTTTTTTGATAAAATCTGTGCAGTGAAGGCAATTGGTTCGAACACTTCAACAGTTAGGAAATACACCGCAAAAGCAAAATGGGGTGGCAGAACGTATGAACCGAACGTTGCTGGAGAAAGTTTCCGGTGTA